ATTTGTATTGGAATAAAGATCTTATTTATTTATTTAATAAATATCGCATGTAACATTCAATATTTGTATTTTTATTTTTAATTATAATTATTTTTAACAATACTGAAAATATTATTTTTCCAAAAATTATTACATTTACAATAGTAATATGCTTTGAGTTTTCAAAATCTTCTTTAGCAACCACAAACAAATATTTATTTTTCTTTAAACAATACATTTGTAACTGCACCTGTGCCAGGTATTTTGCTGTAATATCAAGATTTGATGTTACATATCTTTTGTAAGTTTTTTCAGAAGTTGGACATTTAATTTCGACCAAAAAATCTTCAGAAACTCCATCAGGTATTGCTCCAATGAATGGTTGTTTGGGTACAAGAACTAATCCACATAGCCGAATTTTCTGTTTTGTTTGTTTCTGGACTAGTTTTAAAACCTCCCCTTCAAGTCTTTTTCCCCTAACCATGGCAGCAGTGTCCTTTAACTTCGATGCTCCCAAAATAGATTCAATCAATGATCCATCTGTAGTTTTGCAATAAGCTACATCATAAGCCTTTGAAGCAGTAATTCTCAGGTAACGTAACTCATGCCATAAAGCACTCTTTGCTTGATCTACTATGGCTCTGGCAGCACCCCGGCAAAGATCTTCTGTCATTTTTGACCCACAATATGTGAAAAAAGAATCTGCTGTTACGTCCCCTGATTCCAACATATATTCATTTAGTAATCTATGTAGTGACAATTTTTCAAAATTGTTGTCTTTGAAATATTTCATCAGCACAGTATCTGTGTTGCCCAACTCTAAACTATGATTCACAAATGATTGTAAAAAGTCGTTGTCATCTATACTCTCCAGTGGGTTGCATTTACCCAAATCTTCTGCCTTCACAAATTTCAAACCAGTCCCAACATCAGCAAGAGCAAACTTTTTCCAGTAGCACTCAGTTGAAGTTTTTGGTTGTTCTTCACTACGTCTGTGCAACCAAGTGAGTAAGGCATCTGCATGTTTGCAAAGTTTAAAAATTCCAGACGTAAAGTTCCAAACCACGTATATACCCTAGAGATGCAGCACAATCCTCACACTGAACTGACAAAATATCTTCATCTTTTTCATTACACTCTAATTTTACAGTATAAGCCTTCTTCCGAAAACTGTGCTCTGGAGTAACTTTAGCCTTGACAATGCAAATATCACCCTCTATAACCTGCACCCAGCCAACTGCGTTATCACCATAATTCTCTCGACCAGATCTAAAATAAATAGATTATACAATTGTTATTTATATAGAATACATTTTGAGGGTGTGTTTTTATTTTCATTATATTTTATAAAATTGCACGGAAACGGGAAAAGGTACATATCGTTAATTAAACCTAAGACAGTGTTTAACTTAAGTACATACCAAAAATGCAAACTGTTTTATATTTTAATTTAAATGGGTTGTAAATCCATTCGGGCTGGTTCTGGTGTTTTATTTATTTTAAGAGAGTAAAAAGTAATATTTAAATTCAAAGCTAATAAAAATTAAGTAACAAAAAAGAATTATAGCGGATGTTCGCCTACCTTACTTCCAAGTCAGCGCCTTGAACGCTCTTGCACTTTCTCGTGGATAAAAGTCTTTTTAATTTCTTCGGATATCGCGATACAGAAAATGAGCAGTTGAGTCTGCGACGGACTATATCCGAAGTCACACTGGGAGTCGTAGTTTACTGCCCGAGGCGCAATGGCGTAGCGGGCGAACATTTATTATGAACAAAAAAATTATGCGCGAAATTAAATTTATAAAATGAATACTAATAAAATACCGAACATTATGTATGTAAGATACTCATTGTCATCTTTTCTTGTCTAGAAGAATCTTACTGGAGTTCTGCGCCTAACAAAAGTAGGAACAAAATTGCCATTAGATTAACCTATTTAATGGCAATTTCTTTAACCAATCTAATGGCAATGAGTCTAAAATCTAGCCTGGTCAAGCTAGAGTCCTCTACTCCACTCCGGTCTTCTATTAAATTTATCCTCCGAAACGAAGAATTACCGAACTATCATGTCATACACAAACTCCATAAACACATTGACCATTGACCCGAATAAATAATCGATACCGGATCGTGACGTCACACTAGACTGCCATTGCTTGCAGCTGCGTTTTGGCGCCGAAAGATTTATTCTGAATTCCTATGTGTTTTTAGAAGAAAACTATTGGTGAAAAATTTAAAATATTTATGGCAATTGGCTTTTGACACTGTTTAGAATTAATTAAGAGGAAAATAAAGTGTTCAACTTCCTCATTCTTTCGGCAATAAAATCCGCATCTTTGAAAACACGTTTATTTACAACCATATAAGTAATGTTGACATTTCCTGAAGGTTAGAAACGTTGACTTTTTGAAGGTTAGAAAATGTCAGTTTTCTAACTTTTTATTTCCATACAGATTGGTGGAAGTTTACTTCCCGCCCGTAAGTAGATTGTGGCGGATACAGATTTTAAATTAGGACGAAAACATTTTTTTAAAGATTTTATTTTGATAAAATGCTGCTTTAATTGCAACTTTTTATAGAAAACTCTTTTAAACAAACTACAATCGGTGCTACAATGTCCTATTAGGTACATTTTGTATTAAAATAAAAAGTTTAAAACAATAAATAACTATTCAAATTAATTGTTAGCTTCGAATTATTATATGCTTTGACACTTATGGATATACCACCTTGTTGGTGTGTTTTGGTAGTTAGATATTGCAATTTCTTCATTTTTTCCTGTTGCATTTTGATTGCCATTTAAATTATCCAGGATATTGTTAGGACTGAAGCTACTCCGAAACGTAGATGGCATGGACAGCGTTTCAGTTGTTTGACTGTCTAAAGATTGTGAACTAAAATGAATCCCTTCTGGCCATTTGCGCTAGACTTCCACACCCGCCTAAATGTTTGTTGTAGAACATCTCCTCCACTGTTGATAAGCATTGCCGCAGCCGTTCGTCTAAATGAATGTCCGTAAATCCTCTCTGGTTGGAGTTTTCAAAAGGTCGATAATACGGGGTCGGGAGTTTTAAAAGATAATGATTCTAAAATGGGCATACCAAAAAGAGTCAAAGGGTTAAATTTATATTTTTACCTTGATAGTAGAGAAAGTCCTGGAGCTTTTGGAAGAAAATTCGTCTACATTTGTCCTTGAAAAGGTGTGTAAGACTTCAAGTTGGTTGGACACCCCTTATTCTGCCTTTTTAAAATGGTAACTTTCCAAATTTGAAATGTTAACGCGCTCCCTCAGCGCTAACATGGTTTTGACCATGCTGTACATTGACCAAAGTGTAGAAGGTTTTTTATTCTGGCTCATATCACCAAAAAATGCTAGCAAGACAGTCTCCGAGCCTATTTTTGTAACTTTTTTCCGTGCACCAATTTTGATATGCTTTGTAACACTTCTCGTAGCCGTTACGGCTTTTTTTCGGATTTAAACATTCTTCAGCTTTTTCGGCTTGTTTTTTAACTTCCGGTGGTATACAATTCATATCTTCGTCACTATCGCTCGACAATGTTCTTAATATCCTCAGTGATTTCCACTCTTAAAAAAATGTAATTTTCTAATTTGACAACTCGTGACATTTTGACTTATTTATGTATCCTCCTGCTATCGGCATAACAACCATTAAATATTTCAAAAACCTACTATGCATTTTTTTCTTAAAATTTTGTAAATGAAAAAAAATATTTTGCAGAATATTGATGGTCATAAATAAAATAGTATACAAACCTCGGTGTAAAGTTTCATTTCTTTCTCTAGATTTAGTTTACCGCCTCGGTAAAATATCAAATCTCTCGACAGTAATGAAACACTTTCCATCTTGGTGTGTAATATACTGTTATTTAATGGACAGATTCCCGTCACTCTGAATCCATTTACAGCTAACTCCGTTGTCTGGCATTTCAACAGAGCATTGCCAAGCAGTTCAGCCAGATCAAATTGTGTTACTGCTCTATTATTTATTTTTAACCAAGCCCTAATTTCTTCACTGTAGTAGGCTTTAAGTGGCCCCATAAAAGTCTTGTCAAGAGGCTGAAGTTTATGAGTCGAGTGTGGAGGAAGAGATATGATGGAAACATGGTTTTCCCTTGCTAATTTGATTATGTCCAAATTTCTAGTATAACTGTAATGTCCTTTCAATACAGGCAGCACTGGGAACTCTTCAGTTGGCTTCACAAATTGAATGAAATGATTGAATCCATCAATTCCACTTTTGAAGGGATGCTTTTTATTATTTCTAATTGACATTGTGTAAGCCATTCTGCATAGGTCTTGTCTTGTCAAACCATAAAACTTTGCTTCCATTTTAATCCGACTAACTCATTTTCTGCGTCACTTCCAAGAACTGTGTTTCGGCCTAGTTTAGTACTGTCAATAATGGTGCCACTAGGAAGGTTACTAGCTTTGGCTCTCCTTGTCAACCTTTGCAATGTGCTTCTTGGCACATTAAACGTTTTTGATGCAGTTTTCAAGCCCATTTGTCCATTAACAGAATCCAGACAGAATCCATAGCTTGTTCCATATGTTGAGTATTCCATTTTTTTCTTTCCAAGTTTTTACTCACATATTTTCGATCTCTTCCTGACGAGGACTTGATTACCTGCAAAAGAACTTCATATAACACCTTGGTCCAAATGTGGTCCCCGGCCCATATTTAACACACTTAGGGGGCCCATATTACATAACTACAAGTCTCTATAAAATTAAAGCTTAGAAAAAACTTGTTATTATTAAAATGAGATTAAATGCTGAAATGCAATGTTAAACTTACTCTTTATGTCAAACAGCAAAAGCAAACACGAAATAGTATTTAAAAATATGAAAAATACACAATTTAAACTAACATTAAAAAATTATTGGAACGATCAAAACCAAATCAATCACAATGGTTTAATAAAAACCTGTAGGATGGCGCCGGGGGACGGTAAAATAGGTATTGACAATATGTAAATGTAATTTTAAGCCTAATCTGGCAGATGGCGACACTTGAGGTGGAGATGGACAGGGGGCTCATATTAAGTGCCTGGTCCATATTCGGACCATCTCCTCTAAAATTGACACTGCATTAATTAATAATTTGTCCAGCTTTATGGAGATGGTATCTTTAAAAACATTTCTTTACCTTTGAAAATACAAATTTATAACGTCATTTCTACGCTGAAGTCCTAATAACTGCACATTACGTGGTATATAATCATCACCTTGTGCCCCTTCTGGCTCATCTTCATCATCTACAAGATATTCTTCAATAGGAACATTTCCTCTTATCCACATGTAAATACATAAAATATAAAAAATGTAAAATTGACACTGCATTAATAATTTGTCCAGCTTTATGGAGATGGTATCTTAAAACTCTTTCTTTTAAAATGCAATAAATCACATTTTAAGACGGTAATATGAACTGAATAATATATGTTTTGCTTTCTCTACCTTTGAAAATACAGATTTATAAGGTCATTTCTATGCTGAAGTCCTAATAACTGCGCATTACGTGGTATATATAATCATTTTGTGTTCCTTCTGGCCCATCTTCATCATCTACAAGATATTCTTCAATAGGAACATTTCCTCTTACCCACATGTATTGCATTAAATATAAAAAATGTAAAATTGACACTGCATTAATAATTTGTTCAGCTTTATGGGGATGGTATCTTAAAACTCTTTCTTTTAAAATGCATCTAAATCACATTTTAATACGGTAATATGAACTGAATAATATATGTTTTGCTTTCTTTACCTTTGGAAAAATAAAAATAAATTTCTACGCTGATATCCTAATAACTGCACATTACGTCGTATTGTATAATCATCACATTATCGTCTTTCGTCAGTTTGTTCAGACAATTTTTATGACACCTGAAAGACATGACAATTATAGTACGGTGGATCCATTATAGTACGGTGGACCCAAACCTCAACATCCAAAGTAAAAGTTTTCATCCAGCTCCAAATTGTTCTATACAGTTCACATATTGTTTGTTAAAAGTTACACCATTTTAAGCGTCGGGTTGGGGATAAGTTAGCAAATACGTAAAAGTGCAGGTTTTGGACGTTTTTCTGCAAATGAATTTCTGATTTGGCTGTATATTTCTTTTCTGAATTTCTGATTTGGCTGTATATTGTAACAATATTTTCTTAAATTTTTTGAATTTTATAAATGTGGAATATTATGCATGCGACCTTAAATTAATGTAGAGTATTTATACCGATAAATACTCTACATTAATTTAAGGTCGCATGCAATATCTAAATAAGTAACTAGCAATATCACATGCTAGGCCTGAGCAATTACCGCACATACTTAAGCAGTTTAAACCACTTTTTCTGCACTCGCAGTTCATCTTTGCAAGCATTCATCTTTGCAGGCGCACACTATGAGGGAAAGTAACTCCTTGGGAGCTGCAGGGCGTGCTATTGTAATTGAGCTGTAAGTTCGCTAATCTTCTTCCACCCCTCACTGAGTGGGATCCTTGTTCTCACCCAGGTTCTAAATGAATGCTACCTGGCTACCAAACCAAACCTGCTGAAGTGGGAGGAAGTGCAGCCAACTTGAACAGCGAATGAATAGTGTTGCTTGCAGTCATTCCTGGTTGTGGGTTTCTTTTTTCTTTGTTTGTTGTTTCTTCTTAACCTACTGCTTAACTATGTCTGGGTTGGCGATGTTTGTCCTCACCAGACGTACTGTTGGACGGCGATGTTTGTCCTTCCAGACAGCCAGACAGAAGATCCCCAATATTCCCTTTGAAGACCTACTGTTTTGTGGGAGCCAACGAAAGTCTAGGTGTCTTCCTTCTTTCTTGCCTCTCGTAAACAAGCCAACGTTGGAACCCTTGAAGATACCTAAGATCGGTACTATTTCGCTTTCTTCAGGTCTCGGGAAGAAGGCGTATTCCTGGATTAACACCTGGAAGCAAACGCGCGAATATTTACCTTAAATCGGTGCTATTTAACACTCCGCACGTTCCGGAATATCCTACCGACTGCGCCAGTTAAATGAGAAACTCGAGACAAGTTGTTTTTAAAAAATGTTTTATTTAATAAAAACCGAAGTTAACAGCTCTAAGATCTACATTGGACTCAAACTAATGTACTGTTTGAGTCATATTTATAAAATTACAATAATTACAGTACAAGTACATTTTTATGTGTACTAAACCTAATGTACAGGATGTAACTCGAAAGGCTTCTAATTTTTCATCCAAGGTTACATTTTCTCCCAATGAATAATTCTTTTGGTAGTTTTCCACAAACTTTGTGAAAATATCCCGCACAGCTGCCAGCCGGTCTTCATTTTGTATTTCCTCCCTTGTTAGGCGGTCGTCAAATCTTAGGCATCGAATTATAAATTTAAATCTTTTAATAGTCATGACTAGTCCGAATTTCTCAACACCATCTTCATTTGTTCCCTAAAGTTCTTCCAAACTCTGCCTGTTGCTTTTATAGACTCCTGCTAAAAATAACAGCCCTATAAAGGCTTTTAGTTCAAACAAATATATGAACCTTGCATCCCTTTCTCGTTCATAATTAATTATCTTTTATAAATGTTATGTATTGATTTGTGTTTGTTACTATGGTTTCTAATATATCATTGGTAAAAAAACAACTCCAACATTCAAGAGGACTAGTCGCATTTTTCGCATTTTTATGACGCCTGGTAGGTGCCTTATGAGATTGTGAGCTTATGAGTTTGAATTCTGTTTGATTTAGGGTTAAAATGCCATTTAGTAGCTTTATCTTTGCCAAGAGAATAACCACTTTCATTACGTTCTATTTCCTCTTCATCCGACTCATCCTCTTGTTCAGTTTCAGAATCTTGCTCTCGAGGCTCTACGTGGTCTTCGCCATCACTGTCGCTGTCTTCGTCAAAGCTTTTTCAAGTTTTCTTCAATTTCGTCGTCATCATCGTCTAATGATCGGAGTAGCTCGTTTACATGATCTTGATTCCCCAAATTATAGAATAATTTTCGTCCGCTAGGCATGGTATTGCCTGAAATTAGAGAAAAAAAGATATGGTAACTTATTCGGTCGCAGTGTATCCAACAGATCAACTTCTACAATAGTACTAAATATGCGATATACCTAATCATATTTGTAAACATACAATAGAATAAATAACATACAATACTTACAATTTATAAAAAATCAACTAGTAAAGTGTAACTTAATCAGGCGCAGTGTATCTAAGAGATCAAAATGTCAGCCACTGACTCATCGAAGGTTCTAACACAAACTGTCGTGAACGTATCTATAGCTAGCCTTGAAATACGAGGCACGTCTGTCTAGCCTCAGCAGGCAACTATTAAGCCCGACCAATCACGTTAGAGTTTTTGACAATCACGTTAGAGTTTTTGACAAAAACAAATGAATTAACACCCTCCAAATAACCACGCTAACGAACCTGATTGGCCAAGCTTAATAGTTGCCTGCTGGGGCTAGACACTTCTATACGAGGCTACTTAGGCGGTGGGGATTTCAACACTAAAGCCTGATGTACACCACGCAAAAGAGAGACTGCTGTATCTGCTAGAACAGCTGTGCCCTACGGAAGGTGAAAGGTATAAAACACAATACAATAACACCGCCAATGGATTTTTCAATAGTATTGACTGATTCTAGTATTCCTAGAGAGGGGCATAAAGTTGGGGGTAATGGCGGAAAGGCGTGCGAGAATCTCGACCAATCAGATTGGTTGAATCCTGGGTCCCATGATGAATTTTGTCAGCGTTGCCAGCTTGCCCTAAGCGGACGTTATCTTTCGGAAATACTTTACCTTTTATAATAGGCAGAATGAAGGAAATCAGTAAATTAGATAA